TTTTTCTTTCCAGAATCCAACCCAACATAATAACTAATACCTTAAAAATAAATTACGCGCAAGTAAAAAGTATATATATGAGCAAAAAATAACGTTATTGCTAACTTATCTTATGGGTGGGAACTTGCTCATTTTTATACTTCACATTCGTTAAATCTAGAGAACCTGCCAGAAGAAAAATCACAAGCTTAGTAATTACGTTACTCTAACACAATGTCAGATCACACCATGTAAAGCAAGTCTATTCGGTCATAACTTCCAAATGCTGAATCTATTTTGTTATTTTTTTCTGGTAAAATTAACCCCCCTTAGATTCGATCTCTCCTGAGAAGTAAAAAAGTCAACGATCTCGACGATCTGGGAACGCCAAGTTCCTGCGACATATGAATTTTGATAAAAATATTAATAAAGAACGTTATACTCATTACCCTTATAGCCCTTTTAAACCCCATTCACGCCTTTTCTTATCATGGAATCATATATTGTATAATAAGAAAATGGTCTTTCTACTCATAAATATTTATTAGCGTTAGGGCAAAATCGACGTGGGAAAGTAATTCTGTAGTAAGGTAACACTGCATAAATTTAATGTGTGCAGTTAAGTAATGTAACTTTACATAGCGTTCTGACACATGATTATTTACCAGCACTATGAAAGTTTGGCCAGCATTATTTACATAAAAATTACGTAAAATTACGTAAAATTTCTAATTTGCATGTATCATAGCCACAAAAGTGGTATGTGTACTGCATATTTCTAAATCGCTCTAATTTATCTTTTCAAGATCAACACAAAAGCATACTATTCTTCTAGAGTAGGACATCGGCTCGGGTTGGTTTTCCAACCTTAACGGCTCGTTGAATAGTATGCTTTTTTATTCTATATTTTACGAAAGGAATCTGGGTATGTAACGAATTTTTTGGTTATTGTGTAACATTTATGTAACATCGAGGGATCGATCACGGAACGATCATGGAAATTTTATTAAATTCTTATGCACGATCGGGGAACGATCACGGAATGTCGCAGTTTAATCAGCGGAAGATAACAATTCATCGATTTACGTGAGCAATTAGAATTGCGTGTAAGTTCGTATGAAAGCAAATGACATTTAATGACCTGTTAAAATTAGGTAATTTATTCGTAACAATTATAGAATATATGATGACTTGTATCTGAATGTGTAGTGGTCCCTGCTATAAAATAAAAGGCATATTTAGTTGTTTAAAATACTTTTCATTACTTCTAACAGACTTTTACTTATAATTCTAAAAATGTCTAAAGATTGGAACGATATCCGAACTCGGCTTCTAATTAATGAACGAAAAAATAGGAACGTGGAGTATCATGACCTTCGTAGGATATAGAAATGGATTTTGGGAAAGCATCGCCATCAAAATTAATGAACAACATGGATCGAACTTTAATGGGTATCACTGCAAAGAAAAATTTTTAACTCTTACCCGGGATTATAATGTAAATATGAGTCAGAGACTCTTATGCCTTGCATATACGAACCCCATCCACTTTTATTTGTTTTTGGTGCTTTTGATCTGCACGGATTAACATCTGATAATTATTAAAAAAAAATAGAAGATGCGTTTATATTTGGCAGGAAATTGTGGAGGACGGAAAAGCCGAACTGGAGAGCGTTATTTTGAGGAATTCCAAACCCATTTTTGGAAAAAACCCGGTAAGTTGATTTATCTTTTGTGCAAGAGTATCGCTTCTTTTTTTAATAACTTTACAAATACATGTTATGTTTAGTATCTCAATTTGATCGAAGACGGCAAGAAATTAGACGAAGTTGTTCCCCACCACCATCTTATGAGGAAACAATATCGTCACTAAGTCGAGAGTCATCATTCTCTAGTCGAAGAAGCCAATCCACTTCTCCTGTAAGGTCATCTTTTTGTGAAGAAGATAATAATGGGCGTTCCGTTGTTCTTTGGGGTAGGGAGAATAGGAATAGTAGAGGCTAAATTTTTATGTAACGTGTCCATGCTACGTATAGCATTTAACTTTTGTACTTCGCTTGCCTATTTGAGGTAAAAAAAAATAAATTACCATATATATGCATCCGAGAATTTTTTGCGTGATTTTATTACTTAAACATAAAGATAAATTCGTTATTCTAAAAAATTGTGAAGGCACATGACTTAATGGTCACATGGGACGCGAAATCAAAACTATTCATAATTTGTTTGTGTCTTGATAAAAAAAATCGTGATAGATGTTTGATCAACATAGTATATAAATAACGAAGTGTATATAAATTTGTAAATCGGGCTTAAATATATAGCGTGTAAAATTATTACTATACCCCATATAGCCAAATGCGCCTCTCGATAGATTATTTTTACAATGCACAATAATCCCAAATATAGAAAATGTGCGATTGTTGGTCGTGTTCTATAATTGTAATGCCGAATTTAGTATTCATTTTAATTGTTTGTTAACAATTACTGAATTATCGTGTTAAATTATTATGACGTGCGATTGTTTGAACTATGTTAAATTATTATAACGACACACGATTGTCTTAAATTCAATACCAACTATACAATTATGCTATAGTTTTTAGTATAAATTCTCTAATAAATAGGACTGACTTTCGATATAGAGTTCGATTTAGTTGATATTTTTTATTCTTCATATTTCTTATTTCGTGCAATAAAAATACTTATATTGTTATCAAGACAGCTAATTACAATGCAAACACTAAATAATAAGCGAAAGGGAGAGGGCATCGCATCACAAGAGATTCCAATTATCAGGAAAAAATTATCCCGCCATGCTCGTGCGAATAGAAATAAAAAACAAAAGTGCGATCATAAACAAAATAAGGTTCTTTGTAA